TCTTTTTTTGTTTGTTTGTTTTTTGAGACAGAGTCTCACTCTGTTGCCCCAGCTGGAGTGAAGTGGTTCAATCTCGGCTCACTGCAACCTCTACCTCTTGGGTTCAAGCAATTCTCCTGCCTCAGCCTCCCGAGTAGCTGGGACCACAGGTGCGTGCCACCACACCTGGTTAATTTTTATATTTTCAGTAGAGACGGGGTTTCGCCATGTTGGCTGGGCTGGTCACCAACTCCCAACCTCAGGTGATCTGCCGATCTCAGTCACCCAAAGTGCTGGGGTTACAGGCGTGAGCCACCGGGCCCGGCGAGATATTCCTTCACGGCAACACAGAATGGACTGACACACAGGACTAACCGGAATGGTTTGTGTAGTGAGGTGAGGTAAGGATCAAGTGCAAAGCTTCCTGTGGTTGCAGAAGGAAGGGAGGATCTGCAGGCAGAAGGACACAGTAGTGTGGAGGGGTGGGTCTAACAACCCAGGTGGAAAGTGAGGCTCTGAGCTGACCTAAGTGGCTACGTGCCAAGACAAAGATGAACCACGGACTTCCTGTTGACTGGGAGGCAGGCACATGGAGCAAAGGGAGGGCATTGGATGAGGGCATAGGGAAAGCACAGGTGCCACGGTGACGGTTAGAGGGACCTGGTGGCAGGTGTGGGCTGACTCAGGCTTAGGTGTTGCTATCATCTTACTTCCTAGCTGGTAGCTTCTGTCTTCAAACAAACACAAAGACTAAAGACGAATAAAATTGTGTATTGAGCAGAGTGTGCATGAGGGGTGAGAAGTGACACCTCGCCCCCGGCTGTTCTTCAGGGACAGGGGAGGGAAGGCCCCCCTGTAGAGCAGAGCCAGAGCAGAGGCACGGAGATGGCTCCTGAAAATCAACATGCAGGAGGAGGAGGCAGGGAGGAGGGGGCCAGAGGCTTCAGACGGGGACCCCCGTGGCCTCAGCCTCCACCAGCCCTCAGAGAGCCTACAGCTGCCATGAGCTCTTTGCAAGGACATTATAACAGGGGTCCTCACAGAATGAATGCCCGAGGGGCAGTGGGGTGGGAAGAATCCTTAGCCAGGGCCGGCCCATTCCCAAGGGCAAGTCACTTCACCTGTCTCAGTACAAGAGTAATGAGCCCATCATTTACTGCGGTCTGTACAGTGCCCTCACCGTTTGTATCTCAAGCACTTGCTACAGCTCTTGAGATAAGTGTTATCATCATCATCTTCATCACTTGAGTAAAAGTGCCAAAGGGGCGCAGATTATATAGTTTTTCCTTTGATGTAGCCCAAATGCCTAGAACAGTGACTGGTACATAGCCCAGACAGTCAGAACTATTTGTTGAACGAACATGGAATGAATCTCATTTTTGTTTTACTTCCATTTTACAATCAAAGAAGTAGTCTCTGAAGAATGATGCGATACACCCACAGTCACCTGGCCAGGAGTGACGGAGCTAGAGCGGAAACTCAGGCTTATTCCCTCAACCCATGCCACGCCATCTCGTTCCTACTGCCAGCCTCAGCTCAGGGAGCAGAGTATATGGGACAGATGACCTTCCAGGCCCTTTTGAGTTTTTTTTTTTTTTTTTTTTTTTTTGAGATGGAGTTTCACTCATGTTACCCAGGCTGGAGTGCAATGGCGCGATCTCGGCTCACCGCAACCTCCGCCTCCTGGGTTCAGGCAATTCTCCTGCCTCAGCCTCCTGAGTAGCTGGGATTACAGGCACATGCCACCATGCCCAGCTAATTTTTTGTATTTTTAGTAGAGACGGGGTTTCACCATGTTGACCAGGATGGTCTCGATCTCTTGACCTCGTGATCCACCCGCCTCGGCCTCCCAAAGTGCTGGGATTACAGGCTTGAGCCACCACACCCGGCCCCTTTTGAGTTTTGATGCTAGGGAGAAAGGGGCCTTAGAAAGACCAAGACCCAGGCTTCCAACCTTTGGTTTCTCAAAGCCCAACCTCAAGCCCCCAAGGCATCCATGTGAAGCCGCTTCCCTCAGGTCCTGCAGTCCAGGGAGCAGCAGGAGGGCGTAGGGCTCTCTCTGGGGCAGGGTATGGACCCGAAGCCAGTACTTCCCCCTGGCCTGCTGGTACCGGCATTATTTTAGTCAACAAGCATTTCCTGGGCTCTGCCCATGCAGGGCGTGACGCTCACCCAGGGAAGGGGACCCCACGGAAAGCAAGGAGCCAGGCAGGACTGACTCACGCCTGGTTGCAGGAGACCTGATTGAAGCGGCAGGCAAAGATGAAGTTGCCCAGCGTGTCCTCCTCCAGGGACGGCAGAGTCTCTGGCAGCCTTGACAGGATGTTGATGTAGTGGAAGTGGTACCACTCCCTCACTGCATCCACCCCTGATGAGTACGTCTGGTAGAAGCAGTCTGATTTGTTCTGGTTGCACTGGACACAGAGACCAGAGTCAGAGGGGAAACGCAGCCAGGGGTAGGCCCCTTGGCAGGGCCAAGGGCAAAGAATGAGTGGTCTGGGGCTCTGAGGACTGATGGATAGGGGTCGGAAGCCAGGAGTCGGGAGACAGAAGCGGAAGAGAAGCAGAAGTCCCCAGGAGCGTGGACCAGGAGAGCATGGGATTAAGGGAGCTGTGGGCCAGGAGGGAGACCAGTAGCTGCACACGCAGCTTGGGTTCATTTATGCGTCCCCCGGGCCGGAGAGGAGCAAGACTTTCCCTCCCATTTCACTGATGGGAAGACTGAGGGATCAAGACATTCATCCCTGAAAGAGCTGGGACTAGAATTCCAGTCCCCAGACCACTCTTACTAGTGGGAACTTCCCTATCACCTTCCCTGGGCTCCTCCCTCATTCTCCCTTGCTCTTTTCTTTCTTTCTTTCTTCCTTTTTTTTTCAGACAGCGGCTCACTCTGTCACCCATGCTGGAGTGCAGTGGTGTGATCAAGGCTCACTGCAGCCTCCACTTCCCGAGTTCAAGCGATCCTCCCATCTCAGCCTCCTGAGTAGCTGGAACTACAGGCTTGTGCCACCACGACGCCAGCTAATTTTTATATTTTTTTGTAGAGATGAGTTTTCACCATGTTGCCCAGGCTGGTCTAAAACTCCTGGGCTCAGGCGATCTGCACTCCTTGGCCTCCCAAGTACCGGGATTACAGGCGTGGGCGCGGCAGCTCACGCCTGTAATCCCAGCACTTTGGGAGGCCAAGGCAGGCGGATCACCTGAGGTCAGGAGCTCGAGACCAGCCTGACCAACATTGAGAAACCCCGTGTCTACTAAAAATACAAAAGTATCTGGGCGTGGTGGCGCATGCCTGTAATCCCAGCTACTCAGGAGGCTGAAGCAGGAGAATCGCTTGAACCCGGGTGGCAGAAGGTGTACTGAGCCAAGATCGTGCCATTGCACTCCAGCTTGGGCAACAAGAGCGAAACTCCGTCTCAAAAAAAAAAAAAAAATTGTTTCCTTTTTTTAAAAACTGTCTCCTTATTCTCTATCTTGGGCTGTTAGTCCAGTTCTCCATCACGCTGGAGGGTCCCAACTGAGTCCCACCAGTGGGACTGGAATTCAGAAAGTTGCATCTTCCTTCCTGAATCAAGGACCAGAAACAGTAAAACAATAATAATGATAATAATAATAAAAGTACATTTTCCATAATAGATTTGACTTCCCATCATTGAGACGCTTCTACATAGACGCCCTCCCACCTCGGGAAGGAGGCCCCATAAGCTGGGGCACCCAGAGGTGTTTTGATTATCTGGTTATTATTTGTATCTATTCACTTATTTTTTTGCTCGCGAGCCCGCTGGGCCCCGCACGGTGTCACTGGGCTGCGGGGGCGGGTCCGGAAAGGGGCGGGGCCCACTGGGTGGGCGGAGCCGGGGCGCGGCGGGCCTCACCAGCTGGAAGCCGATCTTCCAGTCCTTCCTGTCCACTTGGGGGTTGTGGTCCTGAACGCCGGAGGCCGCGCCACGGGCACGACGGGCCCCGTCAGGCGGGGGCGGGACCCTCAGGCGCTGCAGGGGGTGCGGCAGAGTGCCCCGAAGGTCGCGACGGCCGCGGGAGCGGGCCTCGAGGGCGGTGGAGTTGTACTTGTACAGGTCGTAGAGCGTCTGCTCGGCGATGCGGTCCAGCTCCTCCAGCTCCTCTTTAATCTCCGCATACCTGGAAGGGGCGAGGGGAAAGCGTCGGGCCAGGGGGCCTCGCGCCAGCGTCCGCCCCCCCGGAGGTCGGGGTCCTCATCTGTGCCCCGGGAGGCCGGGCCACCCCGGAGAATCCCGGGCGGGGCTGGGGTCGCCGTGGCGCCTCCCGCCGGTCGGGCGGGGAAGGGTAAACAGGTGTGTCCACGTGGGAGGCGGAGGCAGCGGGCCGGGCTGGGACGGCAGTTACTGCGGCCTGTTTATGGAAGGAGAGAGGCGGGAGGCGCCTGTCGTCTGTGGGGCGCTCTCCTCCCCTTCGCCTGGACCTAGAAGGGAACCCGGAACTCGCCTGCCCTTTACCGAGAAGGGGAAGGGTGCGGGCCTCGACCTGGGCGTGACCGTGGTGCCCAGGTCATCCCGCCCTGATGCCCTCAGGCGAGGGTCAGTGACCGTTCGGCTTGAGTGCCGCGTGGCACCTAAATCAAGAGTTCACAAGTGCACTTTTAGAATCTCCCCAGAAACTGAAAATACAGGATGCCTCACCCACCCCGCCTCCCTCCTCCGAAGACTGTGTTCATATGTTTCGGGTGCGGCCCAAACACCGTAAATTAAACAGTCACTATAAATCCCCACATTCCTTCTTCTCAGTACAGGTCCTATTACCATCTCCATCAGGAAAGTCCAGAGTAGCAGGGCCTTAGGGATGCAATCTACCAAAACAAAGCACATATAGAACTAATAAACTGAACAAGGTTGCAGAGTACAAAACACACAGAAAAGTTAATTGCATTTCCACATGCTAGCAACAAAAAAACGGAAAATAAAACCAGAAATACAGCAGCAATATTAAATAACGTAACATCAAATACATAGAAATAAATGTAACCAAAGATGTGCAAGACTGAAAACTATATTGTGCCCGCTGAAAACGACGTTGAAATCCCCGCCGAAATAAAGACCAGAGTAAATGGAGAGATACATATGTTCATGGATTCAACACAATCCTGATCAAAATTCCAGCTTTTTGTTTTTGTTTTTTTGGACAGGGTCTCGCTCTGTCACCCAAGCTGGAGTGTAGTGACACAGTCACCACTCACTGCAGTCTCCTCCTGGGCTCAAGCAATCCTCCCACCTCAACCTCCCTAGTTGCTGGGACCACAAGGATGCCACCGCACCTAGCTAATTTTTGTGTTTTTTTTGTACAGAGGGGGTTTCACCACGTTGCCCAGGCTGGTCTCTAACTCCTAAGCCCAAGTAATCTAGCCGCCTCGGCCTCCCAACATGGTGGAATTGCAGGTGTGAGCCACTGCACCTGGCTGGGCACCAGTGGCTCACACCTGTAATCACAGCACTTTGAGAGGCCGAGGCGGGTCTATCACTCGGTCAGAAGTTCAAGACCAGCCTGGCCAAGATGGTGAAACCCCGTCTCTACTAAAAATACAAAAATTAATTATCGAGGTACGTAATCCCAGCTACTCGGGAGGCTGAGGCAGGAGAATCACTTGAAGGGGAGTCGGGGGGTGGAGGTTGCAGTGAGCTGAGATCGAGCCATTGTACTCCAGCCTGGGTGAGACTGAAACTCCCATCTCAAAAATAAATAAATAAAAGAAATTGACAGACTGGCTCTAAGATTTATCTGGAAATGCAAACAATCTAGAATAGCCAGAAAATTTTGGAAAACAAGAGCCAAGTTGGAAAATTTATTCCTCCTGACTTCGGTATTTACTATAAAGCCACAGTAATCAAAACAATGTGGTTCTTGGTAAGCAGAGGTAATAGATCAATGGAACAGAGTAAAGTCCAGAAAGAAACTCACACGTAGATGGTCAACTGCTTTTTGACCAAAACGCCAATTAAGTGGAGAAAATAAAATGTGTTGGCAGATTGTGCTAGAACAACTGAATTGGGAAAAAAATGAACCTCAACCTCTATACTACACACACAAAAGTTAATTCAAGATGGATCATAACCTAAACATAAAATTCAGAACCAAAAACACCCTAGAAAATGGAAGATATCTTCCTGAACTCGGGATGGGCAAAATTTTCTTGTAAGAAAAATATCTAACAAAGAATCCCTACAACAGCCCTATGTAGTAAGCACG